GTGCCACGGCGGCGGGGTGGGACGGGCGCACGACGCCACCGACGCTGGGGGAAACGACGTCGCAGCCGTCGGCGACGGCGGCGTCGAACGCGGCGAGGATGTCAGAGTCGTAGCAGCCGGCGCTCCAGCAGACCTTGTAGGCGGCAAGCCGGGCCTTGGGAGCCATTCCGGCGGCAACGCCCTTGGCGTAGCCGAGAGTGGACGCCGGGAAAACGTACCTCCCGGCGGCGATGGAGGCAGTGTGGGTCCCGTGGCCGTCGGAGTCGCGGGGGGAGCGGTACTCTGTGGTCTCGTTCATTTTTCCGTTGGTGGACTCGAAGCCTGAGGAGAAGAAGCGAGCGCCGATGAGCTTGCGGTTGCAGATGGTGGCGGGGAAGTCTTTGCCGGCGACGCACTGGCCCTTCCACTTGGAGGGGGTGGGGCCCAGGTCTCGGTCGTGGAATGACTTGCGTTCAGGCCAGATGCCGGTGTCGATGACGCCGATGACAAGGTCGGACCCGAAATCAGACTCCCTGAGGAGGGTACCGGCGGCGTCGGTGGAGCGGAGGCCGAGGAACTCGGGAGAGCGGGTGGTGTGGAGTTGGCGGACTTGCTCGGGGATAATGGCGGTGACGTGGTCAAGGGACTGAAGTGTCTGGGCTTGGGATGGGGAAAGTTTGGCAGAGAAGCCATGGAAGACAGTAGAGTAAGTGTGGAGGACAGTGGGGGCAGTGGCTTTATCAGAAGAAAGAGAGGAGAGAGAGGAAGAGTACCAGTCTTGGTGGGTTGGGAAAATGGAGGGTTTGGAGCTTGGCTGGACTTGGACTATGAAGGTCCTTGCAGCATTATTAACATTATTATTATTATTATTATTATTATTATTATCAGAAGAAGAAGAAGAGGGTAAGTTGGAGAAGGAGAGTGAGATTATGAGGAGATAGAGAAGAGAGAGAGCCATTGGAGAGAGTGAGAGTGAGCTTGAGCTTGAGCTTGAGCTGCTTCTTCTTCTTCTTCTTATTGCTTATGGATGAAACACATTAATGAGTTTAATAATAAAAAGTGAAAAAAGAAGAGTGAGATTGGGTGGTGGTGTGGTCACTCTATTTGGTACTTGATTTCATCACTTGGGTTTGGGTTTGATTCAAAATTCAATTGAAAATTGAATGCATTGTGTAAGTGGTATTGCAGGCAGTGAGGAGAGAGAGAGAGAGAGAGAGAGAGAGGGGGGGTACAAATTACAATTACAATCAATGTTTAGGGGGGGAACTATATGGTCTATGTACTTGTACAACTTTACTGTGTAGTTTTCATTGGCACAGGAAAGAAGAGGAGGAGATGGTTTTTTGTTAGTGGGTTTAGTAACCTTTTTGCTAACAAAATAGTGGAATGTTTTGTCTTTATTCCTGTGTTCTTGGATGTGATGTTTGAGTGGTTTTTTGCTTACACCTTTCACTCCTTTCAAAAAAACCTGAGGAAATTTAAGAGAATCTTATGCACCATGTAATTTTTTCTTATTGTTGGTTAGTGACTTTGTGGATCAGTCTGCTTAATTAAGCTATACTATTTGACTGTAAAAAACAGTAATTCATACAACAGTGACCTGTTTAACCAGAGAATACTTTCCAAAAAACATCGTGACATATTGCCGTATATATAGCAATTATAGTATCTTTTCTTTTCTTTAGGAGTGTTGCTAAACGAATTCTAAAATTAACTAAGTACACCATATAATATAAGTACACCCTAATATTTAAATTAAAATATAAAATTAACCAAGCACACCCCATTTAATTATCAAAAATACCCCTATACACTTTATCATACAACACCAAACCTAATGCCTCCTCTGCAGCTGGAGATGATTTTGTTGAAGATATTACAAGCATTGTAAGTTGTTTTGGATTTGTTTTCCGATCTCTAGTTATTACTGGATGAATTTAAAATTAACCCTACTACCCTTTGAAATTTCTACATAGGCAGCCAATGCTCATACTGGTCGTCTAAATCTGTTCCGTAGGTCCCTATTTTTAATTACCCTTCCTTCTTCCTTTTTGTAGGGGCTCCAACTATGGATGGCACCTTTAAGCCTTAACCACAACCCAGACTAATCCCCGTTCACACCGGGTCGGCCCGTAAGGAGTAAAGTGCTGGCCAAAGTGGTGACTCCATACGAGAGCAGGGATCGAACCCCTGACCTCTCTTAAGGAATGAGAGTGCCGAACCACTCACACCAACCACCTTGGTTTGTAGGTCCCTATTTTTAATTACTCTTCCTTCTTCCTTTTTGTAGTTCCATAACCAAATAATAAATATAAAAAAAAGAAAAAAAGAAACCAAGAGAATGTTCTAAGTTTGAAAGACTCAACTTTCATCCAATAAATTATCTATTTATTTTTCCTCCTCCTATGAATCATCCACAGCCCCTTAAAGAACCTGTAGGAGTGGACTCCACGGAGCATGTATCCGCTAGAGTGTTATCTACCACCAGTGACCAAGATCTGTATCAAACAAACAACTTCATGGCATTCCTAGCGTTTGATTAGAGTTGAATATGATGTACTTATTAAAATAATTTGTTTTACAATTCAATATATTCATTTTGGTCATTTTATATTAGGATAAATTAATAATTCAATAAATAGTTTAGTAGTAGGGTGTACTCAGTTAATTTTAGGGTTCGTTTAGCAACACTCTTCTTTAGGGCTAGTTTGAAAGTAATTTTAAATAGGCTAATAGTCACTTATATGGAGAATCATTTCTCCATATAACCACTTTAAAGTGGTTTGATTTTATGGAGAAGCATCTCTCATGTGCTTCTCCCCAAAATCGCTTAAAATCATTTAAAGTGATTATATGGAAAAGCACATGAGAGGTGTTTCTCCCCCTAAGAGCAATTCCACCCATGGTGCTATGGTTAACGGCAAATACTATTCATGTGAATAGTGATTGCCCATATCCTTTTTATTTTGCTTTTCAACTCATTGTCATGGCAAGTAAAGGCAAGCACTATTCACATGAGTTATGAATAGAGCAATTTATATGGAGTTTTGTTGTGGGAAGTGAAGAGCATGGCTAGGTATTTATAGAAATAATAAAAAATCTGAAATTTTTTGTTTTTTTTTAACTTTTTTTAAAATTTAAATTGATTGTTGATGTTAGTATGAGATTAGCAAACCCAAACAGCAAATTAGTCAATTCTTGCCTTTGGGTTGGCCTGGGTAAATGGGGTCCATTTTTGCCCGAGCTGCCTTTCATTACTAGGGGCTTGTTCCAAGCCTAGGCTTCTTTTTGACCTGACAAATGAGCACCGGTGAAAGTGCTTTAAGTAATTCTGACCCTCCCAAAATCACTCATAAACGAGCCTTTATTAGTTCGAACGGGTGTTTTCATGTAGATAGGAAACCAGAAATCAAACATGCCAACAAGACAAAATGGAATCTTCAATCTATGAATGAGACACCACCCAATTTTAAATTAAATAAAATATCATCAACTAACTATATATATATATATACATATATATGTATATAAATAGAACGTAATTTGCAACGAATCTACATTGCATACTAGAAGTAGAGGTCTCTGCAAATGGTCTCACAAGCTTATTATTCACTTCTCATTTCTTTCTTTGATGTTACTTATATAATATATAATAATATATCCATATATGACGTTTTGTATCGAATTGGATCCGTGACAATGATCTGGTCTAGATTCTGGACGGTAGAAAAAGGCCTAGGCTTGCTGCCGCTTACGTGTGACTTTGTATGGGAAGTTGGGATATTTTTTCTTAAAAATATATTATATATTTGTAAAAGCCTTTTTTGGCTGACAGAGTAAAAATTTAGGGCAATGACTTACATTTCTTTTTTAGTTATAAAAAAAAAGAATAAGTAGATAAAATATGAGAAAAAGGAGTGGGAAAATCACCACTCAAAATTTATTGGGAGACTTTGTAAAAAGACAAAGGAGAGAGAAATTTTTTAAAAGAAGTCAAAATGAACAAAATTGCACTTATTTATTTTTGAATTTCCTAAGGAATCCTTTACATTTGCATATCTTTGATTTGAAAGTTGAGAGGTTTTTTTGTCTTTTTTGAAATTTTTTTGACTTTTTCCAAAAGTGAATTTTTTTTTTGGTGTGACTAAAATACTAAATTTATTTGTATTTATAAATGTAAAATAATAAAAAATTGAGTGTTCAGTCCAGTGTGGGGGTACTAGTTGTGTGGTCATAATCGAACACGAAATTTAATTCGGAAATGTATTATTATTATTATATAAAAAGCTGAATGGGCACACGTGTTTATGTCTTCTATGTCATGTCACACGAGGGTTTCTTGTTCTATGCCACGTCAGAGACATGGTTTCTTCTTCTATGCCATGTCACACGAGGGTTAATTTGTATCGCCAATTGCAGCTAATTAATCACCATTTCAACTATACACCAACTTCCTTTCCCCCAAATCCTCTCTAATCGGGGTTACTGCATGACTTGATGCAGAAATGTGTACATAATTACTTACCCTCAGCCTTCGTTCATTTGGATAAAGGTATTTGAAAGAAATGATTTGGATCTGACGACAGAGTTAAATTTATTAAATATAACTAGAAAACATTAGATTGTATGTATTTTAAAAGAGTGTAATGAATTTGAAATGACCATATGCAATGAGTCGTTTGAAATCCATTTGTTTTCTTCATTTCTTTCTTCTTCTTCAAAATGCTTTAAGATGCCTTGGGACCTTCGGGGTAATATTTTTCATGACAAAAAAAGTTCACCTAACTAAAAGTTAATTTTGTTTTTGTCCCGTTTACCTAATTAAAGTTGCAAGAGACAAATAATGTCGTTGTGTTATTCTTGTGACCAACTGCTCCAGTTATGGCAAGGCAAAGGGGTCTCTGCAATGAAAGACTAGTTGCTGCTGTGATTTACTGCTCAGGGTGTGAGCATGCATGCGCATGAATAATATGGATACTGCGCCTATAACTGTACTCTGTCTGAACTTATAGAGTTATGCCGTGGTGAAGTCTCGAACACATATTGTAGGGTTAGTGTTGTTGATGCAAACGAAGTTTTTGTTCAGAGTTGCACTTGTACAGAATGATCCATAATATTGTGACGAAAAGTGAAATTTTTGTTTTTTTTCTTTTGATATAAGCGATATTGGGAGAGAGGAAATTAAACTTAGGACTCAATACATCTGTAAATACTCTTAATAACTGGAACTAAAGCCCCTTGCGGACAAATGGAATTCTTTAGGGGCAATTGATAACAAGAAGTTTTATATGTGTTATTCATTAAACCTAGTCTTAATCCAAATTCGCAATCATTTCGTTTTTTTTTCTTCTTCTCAAAACGACATGTACGTCAAAATTTGAAGCACACATCTACACCACATTAAATTGGGAACTTACACACTGCATTTTTACGGTTCTGTGACTTGTCCTCTCTCTGAGCAATGTGTGGCCCAAGGATTTAAGAGTTCATTGACTTGAAAAATCCAATCGTTGCCGCAAGAAGCCTCCGGAGGGCACAATACAAGGTCTCCCAAATTGACTCTTGAGTTGGTGGTGTAAATAAACTCCTACTAAGTTAATTAAAGTTGAAAGATACTAATTTTGCCTTTTTTTTTTATTCTTGTCACTACCAACATATACGAATTATTATTCACTAACAAAGGTGTCTTTGCAAGATTTTGCTGTGCTTTAATATTTATATATCGGGAGCTCTGTGCGGTGGCACCATTTACACACCCTCTAGGCCGCATCTGCTAATAACATATACAAATTATTGTTGATAATGTACTGCTTTAGTTATGGCCAAGGAAGGAGTCTCTGCAAGACTTTACTGTGCTTTAATAATGCCAACAATCTTATCGACCTAGGCAATAAGCCAAAAACCTATGCACTGTCCGTGACGAATGCGCCATGATTTGTTGCACCATTAATTTTCTTAATTACGATTTGGATGTATTATTAGCATATTCTTCTCGTCTATGAATAATTATGAGAGAATATGTTTGTACGCTCAAATGTCAACCACACACACATGCACTTTGACTTCAACCCTACAAACAAAATTTGCAATGATTTTATGTTTTTTTTTCCCATATGAATTTGGCAAAATAATATGTCTAGATGTAGATTGTATGGTAAAAGAATACTTGTAGATTCTACTGAACAAATTTCATCTTGGGTACTATTTCTTTCTCAAACTTCAAATTGACCATGTGAGGTTAATCAGATGAAATATTTTATTTAGGAGTCTGATTTGACTTGCTTTTGGATTTAATTAGGGAATAAAGAAGAATTCCGCAACATTTCCAT